AACTCCACACAAAATACCTCGCTTCGTTAACCAATCAGAATGCGATATTTTATTCAGTTGTGCGATTCTAAAAAAAATCAAAGCCGTAGTCCCAAAGGCAGTGCAATCTACTGTTTTCTCTATTTTTTTTCTTTATTCAAGAATTGTATACGTAATGAGGTAAAGACTTTTCCGAGAAAGTTCGAACCTACATTAATACTACTAATATTTAGTAACCGCAAATCGAGCAAAGGTCAAATTTGTACGAGATTCCAAAATTTTGATTATCACCCTTAGCACGTGATAGCTGGGAACACTGATCGACGGATGGCTTCGAAATTCATTTGAAAGAGATGATAATTAAATTCCCACCACGACTATACACTAATTTGCAGGCACAGCCCTCACAACACAAAAGAAATATTCTAAGGGAAATCGTGTAATTGTCAGAATTAAGGAAATAGATCAGTACGCACGCTGTCCAACATAAGCGAGGAATAACTGTCATACTTACAAAGTCAAACATGAACAAAAGGACAATCAACAAACCAAAAACCATCACCACTGCAAATACACCCAGATCGTTCACAGACATATGAGAAGGAAACATCTTTTCGGTTCTACAATGCTAAGGCAGTGTCAATATCTTCCCTCCTTACACCACTATACAGCTCGAGAACATCTCTTCTCTTACGCTGATAGTCTGCCGCCCCAGTCTTTCTCAAGGCTCAGTTTGCGAGGAGTCTGGCTAAGTGGAATACGCGATTGCAACCCAAGTGACCAAAATATCCCTGACCTATCGGGGAGGGGGCAAGGGGAAGGAAAAGGTGCTTGGGCAAATCTTACTCGGGAAAATTGGGCAAAAAACTGAAAACAATCAATGATTCACTAAAATTTACATATACTACGAATGCGTATATCAGTTTATTGAACGAGGAATTAATAAATAATGGTAATTGAGTGGAGTGTAATTTGGGCTGAAATACAGGACTTGGTCAATTCAAATATTTTACTGATGCAGTGCTGAGCCAGAAACGCTTTTACATCTTATTTTGTATGCAAAACAGAAAGACTTTGACGTTATGTGTCAAAAACTCAGTCAATCCA